AATACCTAACTAAACTTTAAAATTACTTTCAGGTTTATAACCAAGCCTTGGATTTCAATAGTTGACAGTTTCTGGAGACATTTTTGACCCCGCGGAAAAAGTCGAAACTCTTTGAACCTTTGGTTCAGCTTCAGGAATCACAGAGTTCGGTAAGTGCACTTACTAATAATAGCAGAATATTAAACAATTGATAATAAATTAAATGAGCTTAATGTTGAAGTGAAGTGCATATTTTTTACTTCATTTTAGAATACAAAATTAATGCTATTTTTAGAGCAATGCCACAGAATGTATATCGTCTGAAATGGGAATATCCCATAAAGGTCGATTATGATATTACCACATTTACCGAAGTGGATGATACACCAACATCTCCACATGAACAAGAAACAACCAGTTAACGTAGAAAGAGAAGTAAGCGGGACTTCGATTCTGAAGCAGCTTTCAAAGTCCTTGAAAAGCTGACAAACTTTGAAGGGTCCTCTTCCTGAACCCACTGAGCAATATATGTAATAATACCCGAACATTTAGACAAACCACTAAAATCATTCACAAATGTAGAATTGCACCGAGCAATTCTATTGAAGATCGAGGGTATTATATTGGAAAGTAGGCAAACAGAATCTTCTACAAAGACTATAAATTTGATAGATCTTATGTCATCACAACAAGTCTTATCTAAACGAACGCATTAATTCGCAACAACAATTTATTTTACAATTACTGACAATTTTATTTGTACATAATCGATGGACATCGAACAAATATTTATAGGTATGGCCCATGCACAATACAACTAAAAACTCAAATGTTTTCTATGTTCTGTTCGACTTAAAGAGTTTTATATTTATTATATAAAATTTTGTCTCAATTTTGAATGTTTTGTTATCTCAATCCTCCCCTTCTCATAAAGTCTCACTAATAATAGACTCAAATTTTTCAAAATAATATGAATGCCTCCACCTCCTTAACAAAAATATATAAAGAAAACATTATAATTGTAGCATTTTACGAAGAGACTATCATATCATGCTAAAAAATTTGCTAACGGCAACCGAGATTTAATATATTCGCCGTAAAATCAATTATATACTTTTAGGCGAACAATCTCGAGATTTGAACTATGCTCGAAAAATGTTTGCTCATATTGCGTGCATTTAGACAGCTAGTATTATTGTTATTGTTATTATTATAGTAATTGCTCAAATTAAAGACAATAATACAGTAATTGGAAAAAAAACTATTTTAGTCAACACTGATTTGAAAATAATAGAAGAGCTAATTCGAGTCAAAATATTTTACCAAAGCAGTCGATTTTATAAGGAATTTCTCGACATCATGTGCAAAACTGAAGAGAGCATGGCGAAAGTTATCAAAAACCATTTTTACTGTCCGGGTTTTCTAATTATCGTAGTATATCCCAAATTTGCCACTGTGGTCTGGGTTGATGCTCGGCAATGAGAGATCACATTAGCATTCGAATGCTGCTGTAGAATCTTATTTTAACCCTTTGGGGACGGCTGTCCACCTCAGTGGACAAACATACTCTGTGAGACACAGGCTATTTTATAAACAATGACTCAGTTTGCATCAAAAAGTTGAATAAATTACATATAGCAGTGATAAACAGTATTGTATTTTGAAAATAATTTTAAATTATTTTAGTAGTATTTTTAGCTTTTTCTTTACTTTCTATATATTTCTATACTTTTCTTTCTATATTATTACAAATAATATAGTTTTTTCTAAATACTACAAGTATTCAAATAATTTTTATTTGAAACAGTGCAAAAAACATTGTTCTATGATTATATTGTAATATTTGAATGCATCGGTGTATACCGGCGTTTCTATGTGAGTCCACTTGAAGATTATATATTATTATCTGCTAAATAAATTAATAAATATTATGTAACTTTATGTTGCCAATTTTTAATTGATGGAAAGTTATTGGTGGAAAGTTTAGAAAGCAATATATATTTGTGAGATTCTCAAAATTTATTTTTATTAAATATAAATAGTATTGTTTGCGTTAAACATTTTGCGTATAAAATTAAATGTGTTTGACTGAATTTCTAGTTGATATTTTTCAAAGACTATGCGATTTAACTAAATCAATGCAAAGATCTCATGATTTGAAATTCATGATTTGTTCAGAAAGACAAGATTACGGCTTTTATGAAAAAATTAAAACTGTGGATAGCTAGGATGAAAACTAATAACTTTGACATGTTTCCCACCTTTAAAATTACTTCTGTTACTGATGAAATAGATGTAAGTAAAGATCTTATCAATCATATGACTACTCTGAGGACAAAATTTCGCATTACTTTAAAGATCTAGATATGCCCAAATAAGAATGGATTAGAAATCCATTTGTCATTGAGAAATATGATGAATTTCTAAAAAACAAGCTCAACCGTCGCATTAATTTTTTTTTAATATTCTGTTAATTATTATTCTATTATTTGTTTTCATTAAATTTCAAAATCTTTTTTCTTATAATGAATAGTTATGTTTGTATGTACATTTTTTCAAAATATTGTGTATTATTTGGCATAATTTTAGTTAAGTATATTTAAATTAAATTGTTAGAAAAATTAGGGGAGCTCAATATTTTTTTCTATCGAAGGGGTTTTCGATGTTTTATGGTTTGTACATAATTATTTATGGATATTGTCAATACAGTTTTTTATAATATCATACTTGTCTACAGATTTTCACATATGGAAAGATGAAATGGAACAAAACAGTATATCTAGCTATGTTAAGGATACTGCAGGATACAAAATGAGCGATGGGAGTACAATTCTGTATTATAACTATAATAGATCATTCGAGCTCGAGCAACCGAACGGAACGGATCGAAGCGCTAGTAACTACAATAAAAGAGTTACATAAGTAATGGAGTATAAACCGTTTGAACCCGGCGGGGCATCAATACCTGCAGTTATAGATAAGGAAAACAATAGCACGGAGGTTGAAACAGGTATCCAAATAGGTAAATCGATTCATGTTATAAATAATGATGAGGTGATGATAAGTGATTTTTCGGAAGAAAGCGACAGTGAATTTTTAGATACAACAGTTTTGCCAAGCAATGTGGAAAATAACTCGCGGAGTGATATTAATACATCGATAAATCAAGTGAATTTAAACAATACAAATGGTGAAGACAATAAAGTTATGTTGCGAAAAAACAATAAAAGAAGCAAGAATAAAGCTAGTTTAAAAAATGGTTAATGTACCCGAAGAATTAATCAAGAAATTGTTAAAATTGGATTCTAAAAAAGACAAAGTAACAACATTAAATGAAAATATGGAGGATAATCCAGGTTGCAGCAGTACTGAAAAAAGTAAAAGTTGGATAGAAATGATGGATGAAGAAAGTAATATGACAAATGAAGTTAACACTAGAAATAATAAAATAAACGAAGAAATTAATTATTATGAACCATATGATGAAGGACCGTATACGGTTTTTGCGGAATCAACTAACGAAAGCATTGGCAGATTTCATAATCTAGCTTTAGGCAGATTGATATTCAAACAATCGCTTAACATAAGCAAAAATATCATAGATATCTCAAAGATCGGGAGAAACAAAATCAAATTAGTATTTAAAGACTACTTTTATGCTAATAAATTAATCAAAGAGAAAATTTTGGAACAATTTAATATACGAACGTACATCCCAAGACACAAATTATACAGAACCGGCATTATTTTTAACGTTGAACCCGACATGGACGAGCAAGAAATCATGGATGTTATTAGATCGGATATCAAATATTAGAGGTCAAATGCATTAAAAAAGAAACTTAGAAAAAACAAATATGAAATCGCAAATGGTAAAAATAGTGTTCAGGGGTAACTATCTGCCAGAATACGTCTCAATGTATTCGGTTAGGTGTGCTGTCAGTCCTTACATTCAATCTGTAATGCAATGCCACAAATGCTGGCGTTATGGACATATAAAAAACCAATGCAAAAGCAAGATAAGATGCCGATATTGTTCAGAAGAACACTCTCATGAAAATTGCCATATCGTGTCAGACTTTATATGTGCAGTATGCCATGGAAACCATCAAGCAAACGACAAAGAATGTAAATTCTTCAAAGCAAATAAAGAAATAAAAGAAATGATGGCACTACATAACATATCTTATCTTGAAGCTAAAAACAGGATGTGGAAAAAAGGATATGCTGAGGCTGCTAAGATCAACCCGTACAATCCGGGGTTTAATTCATCGTTTCCGAGACTAAATGGCAATACCGAAATGGATTCACACAGGCATAAAAATAAATATGAATTATTGAATAGTTTAGATGAACAAGAAGTTAACATCGACAAAGACAGATTAATGTTAATGAATAAACCAAGAAATATTATGTATAAACGTCAAACAGAATACTTGAGGCCGATCAATCGATATAACAGAAACCAGATAAATGAAAAACCTGAAAAAAGAAACCAAGAACAACTAAGCCTAAACAGTAATAAGACCAATAAAAAGGAAGAAAATAAACGACAATTAAATCATTTTATAGAATTGGCTTTGAAACTTCGAGAAAAAATAGAATGTGAGAGAAATAAAGAAAGTAAAGAGATAGATGAAATTGATATAAGTTAAAATGGGATACACATACCATTATGAATTACTTAAACCAGAACAATAAAACAGGTATAGATAATCGTGATAAAGATGAAATACTCAATAAAATAAGTGTAGTCAATTCTAACGAAAGTCAGAAAATAGTGAAAAAATAATTATAACAAATACCAACCAAAAATGGATAATATAAATATTTTACAATTACAGGCAGAAAATGGATGACTAAGGAGGCAAATTGGAATGAGTATAGATTATATATCGAAGAGACTTTAGAGACATCATACATTCCAAATGATTCTGAAGATATGTATAATTTTATTCAAGAAACAATAAATAATGCAGCCACTATCAAACAGTATAAATTACCAAGATCGGATACATTCAAACCGGCTTTATGGTGGGATAACGAATGCGAAATTCAAGTTAGAAAAAGAAGAATAGCATTTAAGAGACTAAAAGCTCAATTCAACTACAAAAATTACCTGGAGCTCCAAAAAATCACAGCACAGACTAGAAAACCATTTAAAACAAAAAAAAGAGAAAAATGGCTTGAATTCGTGAATTCCATCAATAGAAATACAAACATTAATAAATTATGGAATATTGTAAAAAGATTAAATAATAAAAATAATGGCGACTCCCCAATTCAGCAAGTGAGTGACAATTTCTGCGAGACAATTTTGAAGATCCACACGCCTGACTTTGTACCTGGTCCCGTACAATACTCCCAAGTCCAAGCAGAAGAAGCAAGTGATGACTACGCAATTCATGAAATCGAAGGACGCATTGATTATGAGGAGCTAGAACTGGCTCTAAAAGACAAAAGAAATAGCTCTCCAGGATTTGATAACATCACATACATTATGATTAAAGAATGCCCCAAAGCATTTAAACGTATAATAGTTGAAATGTTCAACTTTATATTAAATTCAAGTTGGATCCCGGAAGATTGGAAAATTGCGGTGCTAGTGCTAATACTAAAACCGCAAAAAGATCCAAGTGATCATAAATCCTATCGACCAATAATGCTTCTTCCTTGTCTCACGAAAATCTTTGAAAACATTTTAAAAAAAAGATTAGAATGGTACATAGAGAGAAAGGGTATATTAAATAAATATCAATTCGGATTTAGGAGAGGAAAAGGTACAATCGACTTGTTAAGCGAGCTAATTGTAGATCTTTATAGTGCATTGTCAGATAATAAAGAAGTGCTACTAGTTACGGCCGATATTGAAAAGGCATATGATCATGTTGATCATAATATTCTCAAAAAGAAGCTACATAATTATAAGATCCCAGACAATATTATTATTATTATAATGTCACTACTATCCAATAGGAAAATTTACGTGAGAAATAAGAACCGTCTAATAGGGCCAAGGACATCATATACTCTCCTATTTAACATCTATATGGCAGACTTTATATCGTCAGAAGGGACAAGAGTCAAAAAGCTACAATATGCGGACGATCTGATTATGTACACAGTTTCTCACTCAGTAGAGCATTGTAGAACAGAAATAGCTAATGCCATATCAAAAGATTTGGAATGGATGCGGAATAATAGACTTGCTTTGGAACCGAGGAAGACCAAAAGCATATTTTTTACCAGGCATAGACGTCCCAAAAATATGCATGAAATAGATATTGACACAATAAGAATCGAATTATTAGAAAACATTAAAATCCTGGGTGTGACTTTTGATAAAAAATTAAATTTCAATAAGCACATAAGCGAGATATTATTCAAATGCGAGAAAGGCATTAATTTACTCAAAAGAGTATGTAACACCAGCTGGGGTACACACCCGAATGCATGTATTTCTTTATACAAAGCTATCATTAGACCCCATTTCGACTATGGCTGTCAAATTTATGGAGGATTGTCTGCAGGCTTATATAAAAAGTTGAGTAGAGCGCAATTCGCAGCCATAAGAACATGTCTGGGATCTTTAAAATCAACCCCCACTAACTCTTTATTAGCTGAAGCCGGGGAAGCTCCCTTAGATATAAGAAAACAAGTACTAACGAATAGATTCTTGATCAAAAAATTCAATTTTGATCATTCATGGATTCAAGATCAGTTAGAGGCACTGGCAGTTCGGCATTTCAATAATAGGTACTGGTTTAATAAACCGATCCCTCCGCTAGTTGCTGGTTTCCATTCATTAAAGTCTTTAGAAGATAACATCATAATAAGCAACAGATTGGCGTACTACACAGTGACTTGGAAAGCAACAATTCCCAAAAAATATATACACCTATCAGACGAATTAGTCATTGGAAAGAATATGGATAAGAAAATAATCAATCTGGAATTGCACGCCTTATTGAACACTAGATGGGAAAAGTATATACAAATCTATACGGACGGCTCAAAAACTGATGACGGCGTTGGCTGTGCTGTATACATACCAAGCCAGGATTTACAGCTTCAAATTAAACTCCCAGATTGGGCATCAATATTTACTGCAGAATTGACGGCTATCAACAGTGCGCTAGACCTAATTAAGGAACATAAATTAAAGAAGGCAATAATTCTGTCTGATAGCATGTCCTCACTGCATGCCTTAAATATGCCGAAAGATTATGGCAATCCTTTAATATTCGACTGTTTACAAAAAATAGAAAAGCTAAACAACAATAACTACAGGATCGAATTAGTATGGATAAGAGGCCATCACAATATCACCGGGAACGAGATCGCGGATAGCCTGGCCAGAGAGGCACAAAACTCAGCCACTTTAATTAAAAAAGCTCCTGCCGTGGATCTGAAACGAAAGATCACAAAAATGGGGATGTTGCATTGGCAAAAAATATTTGATCTCGAATCAGCGTCAAAAGGAATATTATTCCGACCGTGTAAACCGATAGTGTCCAGAAACACATGGTTTGAAAAATTGAACTGGAACAGAAGAGAGATATCTACAATATGCAGATTAAGATTGGCGCACACGAAGAATAACGTTCATCTATTTAGGATTGGAATAAAACAAGACCCGTTCTGTTCGTGCAGCACTGTACTGGACACAATAGATCACTTACTGTGGAGTTGTCCATTGTATGAAAGGCAACGAATAATTCTGTTTAAAAAGCTTCAACAGCGGAATGTGTCATTTCCTATAAATGCTAGGTTCATCATTAGTAGTAATAACATTGATTTGTACAGAATACTGATAGACTTTGTAAATGAATCCAATATAAGGTTATAGAGTAGGATGTTTTTAGGTTTGTTTATTGTAACTAGTCTGTATTGGTATTGTGAATTTTAATTTTAATTTTCTTCTTAGTTTATATTTATATTTGTATTGTAATTTGTAATGGCTGGATTACTAAGAAGTCGAGGCCATTTTAAATAAATAAAAAAAAAAAAAAACTATAAAGATCATATACGTTGTCGAGAACGCACAGGCAGATTGTCAAAGATTTTCAATAGTAGAAAGATTGGGAAAGCATGTCCCTCTCGAATTGTATCAACAGTTTCCAATGATGGTCATGTGGTTGTTTACTACTGGAAGACGCATTTGGGACATCAAAAACTTGCTAAATATATTCGGATGGATAAAAAATTACAGAGACATATCAAAGGGATTTTTGTTATCATTGGTAATATACCTGAAGCATCGTATACTAATAAATTACCACTGAAAGCTTCTTTAGTCTCCAGTAAAGATTTGTGGAACATAAGAAAATAAATTTAAAACCATACCGTACATACAAACACCCAACTGATTATATCAGTGTGAACCTTTGGGTATGAATTTTCAGTATTGTTTCATAAAAATGTCAACACTGTTGATTATGAGCTTAGAAAGGAAGATTATATGTTAATAATAATGACTAAGAAGCAGACGCGGAATGTTGAAGGAATTTGGCACAGACAGAATATGCTTTGATGCCGCCCATGGAACAAACAGTTGCGTACATTAATGGTGATTGATGAATTTGGAAGCGGAGTTCCAGTTGCATTTTTTGCAAACAGACAAGGTGAAGTAACGTGTAAAATATTTTTTGAAGAAATCTCTAAGGCAGTCGGTAAAATCAATACAAAGTCATTCATGACAGATGACTGACCAGCATATTTCAATGCTTAGTCCTCTGTCATGGGTGCTCCACAGCATAAACTGTTGTGTTCTTGGCACGTGACTAGGAGTTGAAAGAGGGCAGCAGCTGCCAAGATTGTTAATAGAGAAAAGAGAGACTTAATTTATGAGAAATTGATAAAAATGATTTTAGATGAGAGAGAAATTTGGGGAAATTCAGGACTAGTTTAAATAAATTTTTGGATGAGCTTGAGGGAGATGATGATACAAAATCATTTGTAACATATTTTAGGAAAGGTTAGTGCTACCGTGAATCTACATGGGCATATTGCTATAGGAAAGGATTAGGGATTAACACTAACATGTTCTTAGAAAGCCATCATAATCAAATGAAGAAACGAGTCATGGGAAGGAAGTACAGTAAGAGAATGGATAAGGCCATTGATATGGTGTGAAGAACTGAAGTGGAAACCTTTTGTTGCAGAAATAAAAGAATAAATTGAACTCGTATATTAACAAGACAGAGAGAGACAATAAAAAGGCATAAGAGAAGTGAAAATATAAAGCAGATACAAATTATTTCCGATAAACAGTGGAATTTATCATCATATGTGGTTACACAGGCTAATCAAGCATGTAACAGTTCTTGTATGAGATGCGAATAGTGCAAGATTTGCTTTCACTTGTGTAGACTATTTAATTAGGTAAATCATTTGTCAGCCCATCCACGCATGTGTAACATTTTTCCCATCTGACACTGGCTTTAAGCGTGAATTGTTAGAAAGAGATATGGTGCAGAAATCTGAACTTTTTAGCAAAATGACGTAAAAAGTTGCTTGGAATGTTAGTTCGTGTACTGAATCAATTAAGTATTGAAATTTTCCGAAAGCATTATAAATAATGAAAGTTTCGAAAATTATTTGCAATTGGCTAATGAACTTTATGAAGCATTAAAAACGGAGCCAGAATTTCCTGCTGAAATTAGTGTATGTCGCCGACGCCACCGACAACAAATTAGCATGTAGGAGATGAAGACATTTAATTGACTACAAAAGAAAATTTTAAAATTAATCTTTACTACCATCATACTTGATACTGCAGCTCCAACATTGACTGCACGATTTGATACTTTAACAAACTTTTGGATTTCTTTATACATTTTTTGATATTATTGCGGGCCAAGAGACTATGCCTTGACGATATATTGAACAAAGCACAGGCTTACAAAAAGGCAAGAAATAGATACGTTAGGGAAATAAGAAAACACAAAACTACTTCATGGAGAGGCTCTGTAACCAGCGTAGGTAACGAAGACCCTTAGGATATAGTATACAAAATTGTGTATGATAAACTTAACAAGAAGGCTTTCCCCAATTCTCACTTGAACTGCCTTTTGAAAATAAAGAAGAAATTCTATCTAATAGTCATATTAAATAACTGCTTCCAAGAAGGTAGTTTTCCTGTCGATTGAATTCCCAAAAGAGGGAGTGAAAACAGACAGAAGAGACAGCAAAATCATACCGCTTTTCCATCACTGCCCTTCTGCAGTGATGGGTAAGGTCTTAGAGAAAATATTAGTAGAGCGCATCCACGCAAAGTATATAGAAATGAATATGTGTATAAACCTTTGATAACTATGGTGGCCCGCCATAGCAGGCCAAATTGAGCAGCCTCATGGAAAATGTAGTTAAGGACTACTTTAAAATGAGAAATTCTTATGCAACAGGCAACACCAAAATAGTTAAGAGGAAAACGCAGAAGTCAACAGGGATCTGTTGTGTTGCATATGCAGATGACTTGGCGCTAGTGATCAAAGGAATCTCCAGAGATGACCAGGAAAGAACTGTATTAAATAATAAGGCATGCCGCACTACGGCAAGCAATGCACTCTAAACAATAAACAGCAAAATGCCACTTTACTTGGAGATTATACAGCAAGAAATCTATAAACAATTCCATCTAAATATTTAAAAAATACTGTTGAATCTCCATGCCTTCGAGAACAAGGTCACTGTTTACTTCCCAGGTTCGGAATTACCGAACCGAATTTAGCAAAACGCGAGACATTTTCTCTCATGTTAAAAAAAAAAACAAATTTAAGAACGCAAATTACAAATGCACATTTAAAGGATCAATTAAAACTGTGTGTTACAAAGCTTAAGCCAAATATACAAATACTGTCAAACAAAAAACAAAGTCTAACTTAGTAAATAAACAATATTTTTTTGCATTTTTTAACTTCCCGTAGGGTAAGTTATTGTAATGGGCCGAAAATCGGAATTGAAAATTTTTACATTTCTCGACGTTTTGAAGGTTTCTGAACGTTTTGGCATACCTCAGAAAAAATGGATGTGTGTGTGTGTGTGTGTGTGTGTGTGTGTGTGTGAGTGTGTATGTATGTATGGATACAAATTTTCGTCCACGTTTTCGGGCGTACGGATTAACCGATTTGAATGGTTCAAAAAACATTCGATTCCTATTGATAGGGAAAAGAGCTGATTAGTTTTTGGCAAAGGCAGGTCCAGCCGTTTCGGAGATATGGAGCAAAGAGTGCAGAAAATAAAAATCGAATTTTTGAGAGAACGGAGTATCCAATTTGAATGATCTAAAAAACATTCAATTAGTAATGATTGGGAGAAGTGTTTATTAGTTTTTGGCAAAGGCAGGCCCAGCCATTTTGAAGATACGGAGCTAAATATGTAAAAAATGGCAATTTTTGAGAGAACTAAGCGTCCGATTTAAATGATTCAAAGAACGTTCTGCTTGTCTTAACAAAATAATTGATTTTGGAAAAAAAATTCATTTTTTTTTTTTTTTTTTTTAGTTTTTTCGAAAATATTTCAGATTTTATTTACAAATAATTTCAACTTTTATACTTTACAAATAATTTCAACTCTGCAATTCAGTTTATATAATTCTTATAAGTATTACACAATGTTACAATATTTATAATAATCTATTTGAAAACATTCAGTATTCCACGAACATTTCGTTACGGTACGGGAAGTTCCAGCAATTTGCCTTAAGGCACAATGCCATAATTGCCTCAAGACAGAATTCCACTTTCAGCTAGTTGTATATTATTTTATATGAATATTACTTTCCTTCGGTCTATCTATGATATGATGATCAATGTTTTTTCTTAATATACAGCAAGCAATAACAGCAAAATTATAAAAAAAATAATTTATCAAATAGCTCCTCTACTCACTTTTTTAATCAACAACTGCATAAAAAGAGGTACTTTTCCATCGTGCCTCAAAACAGCTACAATAAAACCAATTTTTAAAACAGGAAACAAAACAGATCCAAATAATTACAGACCCATAACAATAACTAATACATTTTCGAAAATATATGAAAAAATAATTAAAGAAAGATTACTAAATTTGTTCATTCAAAAAATAGATAAACATCAATATGGTTTCCTCCCTTCATCAAATACACAAGGTGCCCTAATAGATTTGACTAATACCATCAGTACTCAATAAACTAATAGATTTGGGTGTAGAGGGTTTTTCTTACAGCATTATCAAAGATTCCTCATGGAAAGGGTACTAAGGATGAATGTGGGAAATTTCACAAGTGGAAGATGTAGAATAACCTGTGGAGTCCCACAAGGTTCTGTATTAGGACCTTTATTATATCTATTATACACCAATAACCTTAAGGGGGTATTCTACTGTAGAATTTTGAAAAAATCGAAAAAATTTTTTTTTCATATTTTCAAAGTTTAGTTATTCAAAAATATGTCATTGAAAGGATTTTTCAAAAATTATTATTATTTCCTGAGTTATAGCCGTTTTAGTGACGTGGCCTCGGTTCGGGTCCGACTTGTCTCAAAACTTTGAACGCGTTTTTCTCGGAACTACTTTTTTCGAGCTGGCGGTAAGGATATCTCGAGTTCTAATGAACCGATTTACTTCAAATTTGGAGAGGATCTTCTCTATACATGGCTTTATCGTATGGACCTTGCCCAAAACTATAACTTTTCATTTAGTATTTTTTTAAAATTTGGAATTGTTAAAAAAACATGAAAAAAACTAATTTTTTTTTTCAAACTGCCGCCATTCGAACAAAAATTTTTTTTTCAGCTTATCCAAGGTTCATACGATAGCGACATCTATTATAATTAAGAATCCATCTATTTTTTATGTTTCAAATCACCA